TGCTGTGCGAATTTCGGTTATGGATTCTGGCTTTGGATTCACAATTTTTTTCGGATATATAATGTTTCGATCCAAGTTGATTAACTGGGTATGGAAATAAATTACATACGGCTGTCAGTTCCATAGACATATGTTGGAATCTTATATACAATGGAATTTGATGTTCTGTCTCACGTCTGAATTGCTGTGAGTTAAACTTAAGTTTATATTATTTGATTTGGGGTATTTGGATTCAGATTCATTGCAATTAGCCTTCATTCAATTGGATATATATTAGTCTGCCTCGAAATGATATAATTGTAATGATTGGTTTGAAACATGTATGTGATTTATTTGCTGGGAATTCACAATTGCATACCAGTGAATTGTTGAGGATTCTGATTGGCTTCAGTTTTTCCATTCAAGGGATTATTTATCTGGCCTGTTATGCGAATTAAAGATTAAACTTTTAAGTCTATTTTTCAGTCTTAGAATTTTAAATTTTGGATTCGAATACTGATATAAGGTTTTATATATTTTGAGACAAATTAATTGAAGCAACATGTCGCCAAAGCGACCTCTTTTGTGGAAATTAATTTATTTTGAAATATAAAAGGGTATGAGTGCATGTAATTTGAGTGAGTATTAACCGGCCCAAAGGAAGGGGAGTACTCATTAGAATCTTTTAATAGTTCTCGGTGTCATGGATCTCGACCTTGCGATAAGGACTGATTCTCCACCTCCTCTTACGGATAACAGTACTTCGGATGAAAAGAGGGACTTTCAAAGGTGGGAGAAATCGAATCGCATGTGTATGATGATCATAAAGAAAGCCATTTCAGAAGCATTCAGGGGCACTATGTCTGAAAATATCGTTACTGACAAGGAATTCCTTGCAGATATTGAGAAAAGGTTTGTCAAGAACGAAAAGGCTGAAATTGGTACGCTTTTGGCAAATCTTATCTCAATGAGGTATGGTGGTAAAAGTAATATTAGGGAATAAATAATGGAGATGTCTCATACTGCTTCAAAATTACGAGCACTTAAGCTTGAACTCTCTGAGGGATTGCTAGTGCATTTGGTTTTGTTATCTCTTCCGGGACAATTTAACCAGTTTAAGGTAAGCTATAATTGTCAGAAGGAGACTTGGTCTCTGAATGAGCTCATCTCATACTGTGTCCAAGAAGAGGAAAGGTTGAAGCAAGATAAGACAGAAAGCGGTAATATTGCCTATACTTCCAAAAATAAGGGCAAGGGATTAAAGAGAAAAAACAAGCGGCACCTAGTGTATCTAATGATGTCAATTCTGACACCACTTCAGGTTGTTTCTTTTGTAAGGCTGAAGGGCATACAAAGAAGCAGTGTACTACCACGCTTGGCGTGCTAAGAAAGGTATGCTGTTTAATTTGGTTTGTTCTGAGGTTAATTTAACTTCGGTTCCTGGACACACGTGGTGGAAAGATTCTGGTGCCACAACTCACATCAGTATGTCCATACAGGGTTGCCTCCATTGCCCAAAACCAAGTGATGGTGAAACATACATTTATGTGGGTGATGGCAAGACAGTTGAAGTTGAAGCAATTGGAAAATTTAGATTATTGTCAAAGACTGGATATTATTTGGATCTTGATGAGACATTTGTTGTTCCATCTTTTAGACAAAATTTGATTTCTGTTTCTGTTTTGGACAAATTCGGTTATTCTTGTTCATTTAGAAGTGGAAAATTCAGTTTGTTTCATGATTCAAAATTGGTTAGTTCTGGTTCTTTATCAGGTTATGATAATCTTTATTTTCTAGATACTATTGCTTCATTCAATGAATCTCTACATTTAAATACATGTGGTGTGAAAAGAAAATTAACCGATGAGAATTCAGCTACGCTGTGGCACAAGAGATTAGGTCATATCTCCAAACGAGAATAGAGAGACTTGTGTCCGACGAAATTCTCGACCCCTTAGACTTTGCAGATTTTGACATTTGTGTCAACTATATTAAGGGAAAACAAACCAATAAAAGGAGATTTGAAGCCAATAGGACTTTAGACGTCTTAGAACTTGTACATACGGATATTTGTGGGCCATTTCCTACAGTTGCTTGGAATGGTCAACAATATTTTATAACGTTCATAGACGATTATTCAAGATATGGATTCATATATCTCACTCATGAAAAATCACAGTCATTAGACGTGCTCAAATCCTATAAGGCTGAAGTTGATAATCAACTCAACAAAAGGATTAAAACTGTTAGATCTGACCGTGGTGGTGAATACTACGGTAGATATGATGGTTCAGGTGAACAACGTCCAAGACCGTTTGCTAAATTCCTAGAGGAATGCGGTATCGTCCCACAATACACTATGCCGGGTTCGCCCATTATGAATGGTATTGCTGAGAGACGAAACAGAACGCTTAAGGATATGGTAAGGAGTATGATTAGTCATTATACCTTGCCACAATCGCTCTAGGGTGAAGCACTAAAGACAGCATATATCCTTAATAGAGTTACAACTAAAGCAACTAATAAGACCCTTATGAACTTTGGACAGGCAAAAAGCCCAGTCTCATATGATCCAAATTATATGATCCAGAATCGTTCAAACTTCTTTCACTATCTATCATTCTCATATGATCCAAATTATATATATATATATATATATGTGTGTGTGTGTGTGTGTGTGTGTGTGTGTGTGTGTGTGTGTGTGTGTGTGTGTGTGTGTGTGTGTGTGTGTGTGTGTGTGTGTGTGTGTGTGTGTGTGTGTGTGTGTGTGTGTGTGTGTGTGTGTGTGTGTGTGTGTGTGTGTGTGTGTGTGTGTGTGTGTGTGTGTGTGTGTGTGTGTGTGTGTGTGTGTGTGTGTGTGTGTGTGTGTGTGTGTGTGTGTGTGTGTGTGTGTGTGTGTGTGTGTGTGTGTGTGTGTGTGTGTGTGTGTGTGTGTGTGTGTGTGTGTGTGTGTGTGTGTGTGTGTGTGTGTGTGTGTGTGTGTGTGTGTGTGTGTGTGTGTGTGTGTGTGTGTGTGTGTGTGTGTGTGTGTGTGTGTGTGTGTGTGTGTGTGTGTGTGTGTGTGTCTGTGTATGTGTGTGTGGGTGTGGGTGTGGGTATGTGTGTGTGTGTAGGCTGAGGTGTTGGGATATTGTTATAAAACAAGAGGGCTTGAATGCAATTTAAAAAAATTCAATTGCATAATTTACGATCAAATGCAAAATTGCGTCGGAAGTAGGGCTGCAAACGAGTCGAGCGGCTCACGAGCTGCTCACAAACGCTCGAGTCAAAGTTCGACTCGAGCTCGAGTTTGACCGAACTCGAGTCAAGCTCGAGCGGCTCGAGCACGAACTCGAGTCGAGATCGAGCTCATTTTGTGCATTGTCGAGCGGCTCGATATATATTAAATTACTAAAATACCCGTTATATATTGAAATAGTATAAGTGTATAATACAAGTGCTTAATGGTAATTTCACTTAAAAAAATTCGAGTTGAACTCGAGCCGAGCTCGAGCATTTGATTTCGAGTCGAGCTCGAGCTATTGTATTTTCTTATCGAGTCGAGCTCGAGCCTCATAAATTGAGCTCGAACAGCTAAAAATAATTCAATCATGCTCGATAAGGGAGAAGAGAGCATCAAAACTCAATTTGCAGCTGTGTTTGGCGTACGATTTGAGTGAATGTGTATCTAATTGCAAAACTCAGTTGGAGTGGGTCTAACCTATAATTTTTTTTGGTAAAGGTTAAATTTATATTACTAATTATAATTCTTTTTGTGTGCATACCAAAATCATTAAAACTATAAAAATAGATAACAACACATGTTATCGACATATATAAAAAAAAAATAAGCGCTGCTTGCTACTATTATGATTATTTGGGAAATCTAAGACCCGCTGCACCAATAATATTCCGTAATATGGCCCCACTCCCAAGACATAATTTCTGAAATAATGACATTAAACGAACTTATATGGCAGAACCAACGTTCATATTTTCTGTAAAAGACGTTATAAAGTTATAACACTTTTCCACTGCTTCATCATTCCCAATTTGACTGTTGAATATACTGTCCTTTTGACCTTTTCTAATTACATTTCTTTCTTTATCCACAGGGTGATTAATTAAGGCCACAGGGTGAGGTTTAATTGTCATTGGTTTTGTTTCTCGAAGCAAATGTTGATGATATTTAAAAGATTAGCTAAATATTAGTTAGATTGCTATCACAAATCTATTAATTTGACGTTTAACTGTGTTAATACATTACTTAAGTTACTATTGAAATAAAAGGCAAAGGGCACGTGCATTTTTTTTCTTTTACTTAAGTAATAAATATTTTTTTCTTTGTGCCGACTTGGAGTGTAATCTAATGTAGTGCGTAAAGTGGAAAAGTAGGCCAACAAAATGAAAGGCCATAGGAGCAATTGGTCAAATAGATTTGGTCAGAAACAGTGTGGAGGTTGAGATGATTAGGTACATGCAAATAGATAGGGCAATTTTTCTGCAACCGCCCATTACTACTACATTTATTAGTGATACCAATAATAATATTACACGTATAAATGTAGCATAAGATAAAAATATACTTTGATAAAATAATAATAATAATACATGATGATATTATTATGTGGAGGACAAAAAATCTCAACGTTCACATAACATGGAATAAAAGCGTTGGAGAATCAAACAAAAAATAAGTTGCCAAACCGAAAGCAATGTGGGGATATATTATTATCATTTAACTCATCTCACAATTAGAAAAAAATCAGCTGTAAAGGAAAAAGAATATAATCAAAATCTCATTACTAATTATTATTATAAAAATATTAATATTACGTGGTATTAAGCGTAATTGAAAAGGATAAGTAATTGATTTAGTGGGGGCAACAATAACCAACCAACTTCAACACATTTCCATCTTTCCCCACTAACTCCACTACTACTCTCTATATATCTATATATGTGAGAGATATTGGAGATAATAATTATTATTATAAGTAACTACTACTCCATCCCATCCCATTGTAAAAAACAAACAAACAATGGAGTTCCTCCGTGCAGCTATCCTTCTCCTTCTCGCCATCTCTCTCCCCTACTCACACGCCGCCGGCGCCATCGGCGTAAACTACGGCCGCATCGCCGATGACCTCCCGCCCCCTTCCCAGGTGGTACAACTCCTGAAAGCCCAAGGTATCACCCGCGTCAAGCTCTACGACGCTGACTCCTCCGTCCTCTCCGCCCTCTCCGGCTCCGGCATCTCCGTCGTCGTCGCCCTCCCCAACGAGCTCCTCTCCTCCGCTGCCTCCGACAACTCCTCCGCCGACGAGTGGGTCCGTTCCAACGTCCTCCCCTACTCCGGCCAGATCTCGGCCGTCGCCGTCGGCAACGAGGTCTTCGTCGACCCCGCCAACACCACCGCCTTCCTCGTCCCCGCCATGGAAAACGTCTACGCCTCTCTAGCCAAACACGGCCTCGCCTCCTCCGTTAAGGTCTCCTCTCCGCTCGCCCTCACCGCCCTCCAGACCTCCTACCCTTCCTCATCCGGTTCATTCAAGACCGATCTAATCGAACCGGTTATCAAGCCCATGCTCGGCCTACTCAACCGGACCGGCTCCTATTTAATGGTGAACGTCTACCCCTTCTTCGCTTACTCCGCCAACACCGACACAATCTCCCTCGATTACGCCCTCTTCCGGGACGAATCGGGCCAGAACAAGGACCCGAACAACGGCCTCGTCTACAAGAGTCTGTTCGAGGCCCAGATCGACGCCGTCTACGCGGCCGCCGCCGCCGTGGGGTTCCCCGACGTGCGTGTGGTGGTGTCGGAGACCGGGTGGCCGTCCAAGGGCGACGAGGACGAGGTCGGCGCGGGGCTCGCGAACGCGGCCGCGTACAACGGCAACCTCGTGCAGAGGGTGCGGGAAGGCGGGGGGACCCCACTCCGGCCGGAGATTCCCCTCGACGTGTACCTGTTCGCTCTGTTCAACGAGAAAGGGAAGCCCGGGCCCATGTCGGAGAGGAACTACGGACTTTTCTATCCCAACGGGGAGAAGGTGTACGACATCTCGCTGGCGGCGGCGAGCGGGGGCGCGGGCATGATGAACGGAGAGAGCAAGGCGGTGGTGGGGAGGACGTGGTGCGTTGCCAGCGACAAGGTCGGAGATGAGAGGCTGCAGAAGGCGCTGGATTATGCTTGCGGGGAGGGACGGGTGGACTGCCGTCCGATTCAGCCTGGGGCCACGTGTTACGATCCTAACACGCTGGTGGGGCACGCGTCCTTCGCCTTCAACAGCTATTATCAGATGAATTCGAGGAGAAGTGGGACCTGCGATTTTGGGGGTACTGCTTACGTGGTCACCCAGTCTCCTGCTACCAGTATGTCCGGCTCTGCTAATTATTGATTATATTTTATTTTATTGGATATTTAAATACGAAATGCCACTATTTATTCATGATTATTGATTTAATTTCATTGGTCATAATTTTGTTATGTTACAGATTCCGGCAGCTGCGAGTATTCAACGGCAACCGGCAACTAAATCCCCCATATCTATCGNTATATCCATGTAATTAATTATTATTTGCCAACTTTTCAATTTTTATAGCCCATTCAATTATTACTATTGTCTTCTTTCTTTCTTTTTTTTTTTTCGGTAATTTTCGTAAGAAATAAAATTTTGTTATATTTATATACGACTCTTATGCGTGAACAAATCCTCCAGTTTTCTTAAAAATATCCTTCACCTACATTCTAGAAATATTGAAGAGTGTATGTGTTTCATTTTTTTATTTCTTTTTTATTTTTATATTTTTTGTAAAAACCTTGTGGTGCAAATTGAGAGAAAAAACAGAGAGAAATTTTGGGCCGATTTTATGTTTATTCATCGAAGCTTACTTACTTATTCATCTAAATTCATGCAACACTAACTAAAGGACATCCTTTACCACCAAGAAAAATTGCTAATAATGAAAGAAAGTGTAAAAATACAAACGAGAAAACATAAAGGCGCCTACTTAGAGCATCTCCAATGCTCCACTTTGAACATTAATTAAATTTGAACACATGTCAAATGATGAATGGAATGTAAATCCATTTAATATGAATGTCAAAAGAGAAGACTTTAACTTGAAATGCACATCTCTAATGCATCCCTTTCAAAAGCTTAAATAGGTTAGATTTTTTATGAGTTGGCTTTCAAACACTCTTTGGAAAACTAGAAAGTGGGCTTCACACTTTTGATGTTTATTGTCTCCATGTCAGCATAAAAGAGTCCATAACATTATGGATTGAAGATTAATTTTTGATTTCACTTTATAACTTGATGATGTGGCTAACATTTTATTAAGTCAACATCTCACATTGGAGATGCTCTTAACATGTAGACCTTTAAAAGTCGATCAAGGATGAAGGGTCGATTCCCCCTCCCCCAAATTTTGTCATTTTTCAAACCAACGACGTGACGATCCCGTTAGTTTTGATTGGATTAGGACCAATTTTGCAATAGTAAATTAAAAATGGCCGAATTTTATAAAATGTTCAATCTTATGAGACCAAATTTTCAATTCTGGTGGACTTTTTAACCAAAGGAGGTATAAACTTTTGTGAAATAAGGAATGCGAGCCGGCTAAACNATTTTTAAAAAAAAAAAAAAAAAAATTGTACAAGAGAGATTCGGATCGCCTCGTCACCCTCGTGACTCACTCTCCCACACTAAAATACACAACCGATTTTTCCACATTACACACTTTCATTGGTTCTCGCCGAAAAAAAAAATCTATATATATAATGCAAACATATAATACTGCTGAAAATATTTAAATACAATCTGAATATTGACTATAGTCTGTGAATACAGCTAATCATAGATCAATCACATCCAAGATTTCAGCTACTATATAAACTTTGTGGATGGAACAAAACACGGATTTCAACCCATACCCACGCCAATCCCAATAACCTTTTCCAGGATTCTCCTCAATTCAATCCAAAAATAGCAAAGAAGGAAATTCCCAAATGGGGGACGAAACCAAGAATCTGCTCAGCTATGGAGACAAGAGCCGGATGTACGCGCGGTGCGTGTCCCACGCGCAGGACGAGCTCCACAGCTTCCGAACATGGCTGAAATGGCTGTGCGTGGATCAATCGGACGCCTGCACCACCGCCCTCTCCTGGACCGTCTTCCTCGCCATGACGATTGTGGTCCCCGCGGTTTCCCACTTCGTCCTCGCCTGCGCCGATTGCGACAGCCTCCACAGCCGCCCCTATGACACGGTGGCCCAGCTCTCGCTCACCGGCATCGCCGCCCTATCCTTCGTATCTCTCTCCACTTTTGTCCGGCGGTATGGCCTCCGGAGATTCTTATTCTTCGATAAGCTCCGGGACGTGAGCGAGACCGTCAGAAATGGTTATACCCAACAATTTAATGTACGTTTTTTATCCCTGCTTCTATCTTATTTTTTGGTGTTCACTCTTATTGATCTCAATTCAGATTTGGCGATTAGCATTTTCCCTTTTGAGAGACAGAATAAAATGTGAGAGGGAATTTGATCTTGTTCATCGTCTTTGATTATGTTACTTGAAAAAAAGAAAAAACGGTTAGAATCATGTTTACCCTTATTGGAATCACTTGCTTTCACAAATCACACCTGTGCTTGTGTGTGAAATCTTAAGATCAATGTATGTTTTGATGGCAATAAGCCGCAATATGCTGAAATTGTGCATATCAACGTGCAGAGATCGCTGAAGATATTATTTGTGTTTGTTCTGCCATGTTTTGCGGCTGAGAGTGCATACAAGATTTGGTGGTACAGCTCCGGAGGAACACGAATTCCCTTCTTGGGGAACGTGATTGTGAGCAACACTGTGGCCTGCGTGCTTGAGCTCTGCTCATGGTTTTACCGAACAATGGTCTTCTTCTTGGTCTGTATCCTCTTCCGGCTCATATGCTACCTTCAGATCCTGCGTATGCAGGATTTTGCCCTTGTTTTCCAAGTCCATTCGGATGTGCAGTCGGTGCTGAGGGAGCACCTCAGGATCAGAAGGCATCTCAAGATTATAAGCCATAGGTACAGAGTATTTATATTGTGGGCGCTCGTATTCATCACGGCCAGCCAGTTTGCTTCCCTTCTTATGACATTACGGCCCAATGCGCATGTCAATATATATCACTGTGGAGAACTAGCGGTACAAATCATTCACTTTTATTCTCATGCCAATTTTAATTTTCTTTCAGTTTAGAAGATAAACAGATTAGTGATCCCAATTGAGTGTCTGTCTGTTCCATCCTTCAATTTCGGTTAAGCCCGATTTCCTAAGAAATGTGAGATCTTTTGGTTAAAAACTAATGGTTAGATTTATTTTACTTTATTTTGGTGTTTCTGATACTGACGTTGCTTTGTCATTAGTTTTCAAGTTTTAATATCGTTTTTAGACGCCCAAGAATCATTTTAGCTTTGATTTGGCATTTAGAACTGATTTTTTTCTCAATGTCTATGCTTTTTGACACTACAGGTTTGCTCGGTCAGCCTCCTAGCAGGGCTCCTGATTATATTACGAAGCGCAGCCCGGATCACGCATAAAGCGCAGGCTGTGACAAGCTTCGCAGCCAAATGGCACGCGTGTGCCACGATTGACTCGTTTGACATGGCAGAAACCGAGACCCCAGTTGCTCAGGCAACGGGCGAACGAAGTCCGACTTTGAGTTTGGCTGGTTCATCTGACGATTTTGATGATGTTGGTGATGAAGAGGATGAGCTTGACAACACCAAGTTTATTCCGGCATATGCCCTCAGCACAATCTCTTTTCAGAAAAGACAAGCCTTAGGTACTTTTTCTGGTTTCTCTTCATCACATCATATATTATTATGCATTCATGTACTGAAGCACTTTTTTTTTTCTATGTGGTTACTTGCAGTTCAGTACCTTGAGAACAACAGAGCTGGAATTACGGTATTTGGGTCCATGCTGGACAGAAGTTATCTTCACACCATATTCGGGATAGAGTTGTCTCTCGTGCTCTGGCTTCTCGGGAAGACTATAGGCATATCTTGAAAGAAGTTTGTCTATGGCCACATGCTTTAGTTTTAATTTGTTGAATTTGAGCATTGCTGTTCCCTTTGATGATTGCTGATTTTTGCTTGGTTGTGTAAGTAGAATATATGAGAGAAGGCCATGTTGAAGCATCTGAAGAGAACAGCAATTTTATTCATTTCATTTTTTCCCAGTTGTCCTCTTACCTTTGTCTCTTTTTGTTTCTGTACCTTTTTCTTTTTGGAACCAATCTAGAATATATTTGCTCCGAGGTTCAATGTTCATGTTGGGGTGATATTCTCATATCTGGGTCAGATCGGCTAGAACAGAACATCGTGTTGCTCCATCAAGAAAGTTCAACACTTCTGTAACTATATATTCATTTTGTGAAACTGAATGTTCATTACTTCTAAAAATTACCTGTATTGATATCTTGTAAAGTGCATGTGCAATGTATTTGTTGATGAAGATCGTGTATCGAGTACTTAAAAAATGTGTACTAACGGCTGTCAGTGGACACGAGGACTTTTGCTCGAAAATGAGCTTTTTCTTAATTATTATTGCAAAATTTTCCAAAATGAATCATCCCAGATCTTAAAGCCACCGGAACAAACAAATGCCAAGCACAATAACCGATCCAATGAATTTGAAAATTTGAAAACAAGAAACTGAATAAAAAACTGATGATATTGCCCTCATGCCCGTAACTATTATCCCTGCTTGTATTTGGTTTCGTATGTTCTTTTCTTCAAAAGAAAGGCAAGCCTTTTATATCCGAATGAAGGTTTTTGAGATGGTCAAAAGCCACGAGGTGGGAAGTGGCTGACGGAAGACGACGTCATCCGCCACACGTCCCCTCCCTCCTTCTGCCACCACGCCAACTTTCATTTATACCCGAAACGTTACTGCTCAAAACAACATTCTAAGCAAGTGAGAGAAAAAGAAGACGAAAATGGAAGGAGTTAAACAAAGTAGGGCTTACTCGAGGTACGCGGCGGAGACCCCCACATCGCCGCCGTTCACCGGTCCTGTCCGGAAGTGGAAAAAACAGTGGGTCCCCGTCACCGCCAATTCAAGCAATCGAACTCCACCTCTTCTACTCTGCCGCTGGGTCCCACTCCCCGCCGATACCGATCCGCCGCCCGCCCGCCGCTTCCGTTACACTCCGGTAATGAAGAAATAAATTTTCCCATTATTTAATTTTTTTAATCTTTTCATATGTTTATGACGTTTTTCTTAATTTGCTTACATGAGTTATGGCGGGCGTTTAATTGCCTGGTTTTCTTCGCTCGCGATTGGAGACACTCATAACTGATTGTGAAATTAGTTCTGAGATTAAAAATTAACAATAATAAAGCTTTTTCTTTCTTTTGGGAGAGTATTGGGAACCATGATTCGCTGACAGAAATAGATACTGAAATAACTAAAGCTCCAGTTGGTTGAGGTTTGATGGTGCATCTCGCAGGTTGCTGCTCTAATAGACAGAAGCAAACAGACGGCTGTTGGTTGTGAAGATAGTGTAACCATAAGAGATCAACCAAATGATGCGCAGACGATCAGAAATGAGAGTGATTCTATTCTGGAAAAGCCTGCTGAAGATATTCCTGGTGAAGAAGCTGAGGTTTGTTTTCAAAATATCTACTTCTTTTGTGATGCTACCCTGACTTAAAGAGAAAATGTTGCAGCCAGGGGCCTAGCCATAAAATTTTTACCGGGGGCTGAATCCGCAACTGTCTGCTAATATATAGTTTGATTCGACTTGTGAAAGCTCGACCTAGACTTGCTTATATATTTAAACGATCAAAACTGAAACCTCTAATCGAGTCTCTCTATCAAACAAATGGAGTCGAATGTCTCCGCGATCAACTCAGTTTGAATTTCGGGTTTTGGTCTAGGTTTTGTGGTTTACTAAATGAATCCAACCAAGTTTATATGAGTTGAACTCAAGTTCACATTTTTGTTTGTGTATTAAACAAGTTGAGGGACACCAACTTGTTTATTAAAAAAGCACGATTTTGAACATGAAGAACTCGGCTCAAATTATCTAGTTGCAAGTCAAGGTATGAAAATAATTTTTAAATATTTGATATAAATTACATGAAACGCATAGTAAATAATATTAAAGTATTACTAATATTAAAGTATTAATGTTGCATTTGTAAATTAAAAATCAATTACTATGCATTCTAGTTTCGTTTTATCATACCCTAACTATAACTAAAACTTGTGAATTATTAACTACTCTCTCTTATACATCTCTTATAGATATGATAAATCTTATACATATGATAAATGGTAATTTGTAACTGATTTATTATACATATGATAATTCATTATTTTTCTTTAAAAATTACGAAATACTTTTTCTCATATACTTGACTTTGATTAGAAAAATAACATAATTTATTAAAAAGACTACTAAACATGACCACGGGTTGAACCGGCCGGTTTGGGCCTCATATATACACTTTTTGAACCGTCGGACCGGTTCTGAACCGAAACTGGAATCGGTGGTTCGACCCTTCTTTTGTTTTTGTTTTTTTGAATTTTTTTATTTTTGATTTTTTTAATGAACAGGCCGGAACCGGCCCGGAACCAGTGGTTCCGACACGAAATCATGCCTGGAACCGGATTTAGCCATGTCTAAAGACTACTACTATGTGATGGTGAAATAGTCCGTCATTCTTGATATATGACATGCCATTTAAAGTTCTTATGTCATTTCAATTAATATGTCACACAAATAACTGAGATATAGTACTAAATTTCACATACTCAAGTATCATTTATTTGAAAATCAATGAAAACTAAATTGTGAAATTCATAAATTTCGTTACATACTAAATATTTTTAAATATTCTAATGAAGTCTATCACAATCAAACAATAAAATCAATCAACCAATAAAAGAAAATAATTTATTGGATACAATTAATCAAATGACACTGGAACCAATTTAACGAAAGCACAAAAAATAAACACAAAAACAAGAAGAAAAAAGTCATAATAAGATAAAAATAGAAGTGGAAAGAAATTTAAATTATGTTTAAGTATGCAATTTATTGATTTAATCTAAAATAACTTTAATTTTTTTTTGGAAAATAAGATCAACGTAGGGCTAACCGAATATAACATGAACTAAAATATTTTTTACTAGTACTTATTTAGCATTGTCAAAAACTTAATTGGAGCTCACCCCAGCCTGCTTGCAGTCGTGCGAATATGATCCTTTTATCCGATGATTGTTGTGTACTGCTCACTTAATGTATGATACTATTGTGTTCTGCACTTTATGTGAACGTTCATGCAATGGTGAGGTGATTATTGATTCTCATGTCTGTTCTTTTACATCATAATGTCGGTGTCTGTTGTACTTATTTGGGTATTCTGATATGGATTATTTTATTTTTCAATTTGGTGGTGTCATGTCTGGTTACTGAAGTTATACATTATATAATGTTTGCATTAATCATCCCTATTTGTCCTGCTTATTCATTTATGTTCCTTGCAAAAAACTGCTCGGCAACAAATATGACTTGTGCTTGGCGATCTCTGCTTTCTTTCTGTGAAAATCTAAAACGAAATAAATGTTTCGGCTAAAATAATTTTATTGCAAGAACCATTCCGTAGTTGCATTATTTAGGATTTCATGTTTCATTTAGCTTGGTATTTTTCCCTAATTGCAAGGTGTCTCAGCATTGTAGACAAAAATTAATTGCAATTGTAAATTGCTCCAATCTGTGCACTGCACTCTATTTTTATTTTCTAGATCCTGGTAGTTCTGATTTTCTTCTTAACAGTAAGTAAATGACACCGAGTGAATTTTTGTACTATGGTTTTTAAGTGGGTTCTTCGAATCCGAACGATAGAAATTTATTTTCAAGATACTGTGATCAAGATGAATTAAAAGCTCCGTTGATAAATTTCAATTTGGGGAAGAAAAGAATTGCTAAATGCGTAGTAGTTTTTTTTTTCTTAATTTTTTACCAGTCATTACATCGAAAATATTGGCAATTATTTAAAATATTTTTCTATTTCAGGTAAATACAAACATTTTTATCTATATATACATATACAGATGTGTTCAATTTGAAATTGGTTTTATAAATTCAATTACTTATCTTCTTGAAATGTGGTACTTTAATAAATTGACAATTACCCTATAAAATAGAAAAGCAAAATCTGATTTGTCATATGTAACAAGGAAAGTACAGTAGTCAATGCCGATCCAACAGGTAGGATGTGAGCCATGTTCTTTGAGTGGCAATTTTGGTCATTGCAACATTTTCATGACTGGGAAAAATATTTGGAATCTGTAGATTTCTCAAACCATCATCTCTAGCATTTTCGAGTTTCTTAGTGAGGATGTGCCTTAATCTTCACTAGCATGCTTATTATGAACCTGTCCAATTTCTATTATTCAAGACAAAATGTCAGTTTACATAATTATTCATTAGTTAAGGGATTTTATCATGAACAAGATCTGCATATATGTGAACGGGTGGAAGGACGTTGGAGCTAAATCGTCTATTTTTGTTCTGCAGGAACTAGATGAAGACGATGATGATGATGTAGATTCAGAAAAACTTGAAGGTGAAGGAAGCTCTTTTGCCAAGAAAAGGAAAGTGAGCCCAACTGGGGAAAGCAAATATGCTCTGTTAGGTAGGGTTCAATGATAATTTTTTGGCCGTGTTCATGTTCAAATAGCTCTGTTCTTTGGGCATGTCAAAAACTGAAACACAAGCCTAGGGGATTTTGTCTTGTAAAATGGAAAAATGTAAATATGTAGGTAACAGTAGTCTATTCAGTAATGTACAGGTATGTTGTTCTACACACAGTTTTTATGATTCCTTATGCTACTTGCCTCTCCCTGCCTGATTTTGGATTCTAGCAACATTGGCCCGGGATATATTCTACAAATCAAGAAATCATTATTCCTTTTTCTTTAAGAGGCTGTGTATGATTCTTCTGAAAGGGTATTTCTTGAAACATTAATTACAGACAGTTTTGCTATGGAGCCATCGGATGGTTCGCCTTATGGAGTCATCCACACTTATTCACCAATAGTGTATTGACACGTGTCCTGTAATAAATACACTTTGGACATGTATCAATACATTAAGTGGTGGATGACTCCATAAATAAAACCATTCGATGGCTCCATAGAATTTTTGTAATTACAAATACCGAAGTCTAAAAAACAATTACTCAAGAATTTTGGCTCAACAAAACAAATTTAAGACCGGTGTAAGACTACACAATGTCCTCTCTTTGAGTTAGCCAGTCTAGTAGAATTTTTTTTCTTTTTGTTTTTTTTTTCAGACAACAATTATATTAATTATTGAAAAACTAAAAAAAAAAGTACAAATTGGGTGTCAATTGATACAATAGGAATCAGAAAGCCTGGATTCACCCTTTTAGGACACACTAGTCCAAGGAGTACAAACTCCATCAAGAAGATAATCGAACATACAAAATTTCACTCCATAAAGGAAATTAGAACTTCATAACCGAGGTTGGATGTCAATGGAGCTGGACTTAATGGAAAATAAAAATAAAAATAAAGAAAGATAAAAATAACTCACACCTGATAAACAAAGTAGAATAATACCTCTCATAAACCTAGCAGCTGAACCTCACGACCACCTAAATAGGCTACACAACTGAGGAACAAAACTAGACATCAAACCCGCAAACTGCGGCAACCCAACCTCTAGACGGATTTTCAGTCTAGGTTTGCTTTGAAGAACTTTAATGTTGGGGGATGAAAGGGGAACCGCCGAGAACACACTGGAGGGCCCGAGACAAGGATCCGAGTAGGCACCACCACTGGTATGTGGAGATTTTTTTTTTTTTTTTCTTTTGTGCTTAAAAAATAATTATCTCTTATTCATTTAAAGAAATAAAAAATAGACAAATCTTCAATTTTACAGTCAGTCATAATCTTGGTGGTGGGAAAGTTCAACCCAGTGGGTTTTAGCCATATAAACTAGATTCACAAACACGTACTCCATAGATTCACACATTTATACACCCACCCATTTAAATGCATCACTTGCATTTTGTAGTTTTAGAAAATGTATAAGTGAAAACATATTTTGAGAACTTTACATTTCAACTTGAGCTCGCACCACCCACTGCCACCGTCGGCCCTGAGCTCGCACCAAACGACCGTTGTATCTGCCGCCGCTGAAACACTTGATGAAACATGTCTCGTAACCTTCTCCACTCGTGGTACTAACCCTATTCACGACTGATTGAAAGTAACTTGTTCAAATTCTGTCGTCACCTTTGTTTTCTAACTTCTCAAAATTTTCATACATTTGTTCGTGTGTAGTGAATTTAGTAAAAGACTTTGCTGGAGTATTGCGGTTGCACTGGCTTTCTTTGCCCTAGTGTGTTTTCAGGTCGTTCTGGTCGATTCAGAACGGAAGTGAAGTACGGTAAGCCAGAACTCGCCTTACTAAGACTCCTACTCGGAAGGTGTGGTATGTATCACACATCTTGGTGTGATAATCAAATGTGGGCTCGAAGAGCACCGACGACTGGTGATGCATGACAACCCCCAGAGAGGGTTGGTGCGAACGGGGAAATTGCAATTTAGAATTAGAGGATTCCCTTTGAAAATTCGACAAATCCTAGAGATTTAGTTGTATTTTTAAAAATTTTAACTATATTACAATTTTTAGTACATTGATCGAATCTGTAAGTTATTATAAAATAAATACACATTATTTTGTATGAATATACACATTAAAAATACTAGCGTTGAATAATTCACAGTAGTGTTGGACTTAGTGCACATTAGTGCCTGTGAGAACACACATTAACTTAACAGTGTATTCTGCGCAATGAGTAAAATATTCCCGCGTGAAAAATCAAAAGATCACATAATTACAACAATGTCACTATCCCTTTGACCAAAGTTGGACCCTTTGACTATACCTGAAGCATTGATATATCACATCCGATCGTTACGATCCATTCTTATTTCTTTGACTATTACTCATTTTCATATGATTCGATATTTTTGCCATAATATATGTAAAATAAAGATTATAAAAATAGTTTTATGGTTCAAATATTTATTTTAGAAAACATAGTAGGTGAGTCTTACATCGAGAAGTTAAATAAAAAAGTAATTCTTCAATTGAAAATAATATAAAATGTAAAATTTTAAATTAAGACAAAAAATTATACGAAATTGATACAATTCTAAAAAATTGAGTATTGTAATGGAATTCGCACGCTAGGGATTGGCGAGTACAATTTCACAAAGTCTATACGACGTCGTTTGTTACACGTTAAAATTTGAAAATATCTTATCTTCATCGTTTTCACAAAACTGACATATATATTTCGCTTGCAGGCTGCAGCCAGCTCCAAGGAACTTCCCCCAGAAAATGGAGGCCTGCTGCAGTAGAGCAACGCCCCTAACCTTCTTTCACTTCAAGCCCGCTTCCCTCGGGCCTTCACCTTTTTCCGTTTCTTTTGTCGGAACCCGTTTGCTAAAACCCATCACCAACACTAGGCAATACCAATTACCTTCACGCACTACAAAATTTACCCGCTTTTTAGCATCCGCGTCCCCGGCCACTGCTGACAACGCCATTGCTGACAAGCTTCCAGCTGACCTTCAAGTTACAGAAACGCCGGAACCCAATTCAAGAGTCAGCTATACTATCCTTCACNTCTTGTTTCCTGCTTACCTTAATTTTGAAATGCGTCACGTTGTCTGAATTTCGATTGGATGTAATTTGGCAGCTTCTTGTGGTTCTCTGTAAATATGGTTCTGACTTCTGTATCATTTTAGTGGCATTAGATACCCAATAATTTTCACATTAGTATTTTACGTCATCATAGTCTTTAAGTCTGGGGAAGTGGCGATAATTCATAGTGTCTCCAAGTTTTTTGGGCTTAGAGGTGAAGGGAATTTTCGGAATATTCATCTGGCTTAAAATATGTTATCATCTTCAGGTGAGATTAAGCGTGGAAGTTCCTGCAGTGGTATGTGATGATTGCTACAAAAAGGTCATCAATGAGTTTATGAAATGGTCCAAGGTATTTCCAGTTTATGATATTTTACTACTTAGTTCAATGTGGCAATTTGGTCAAGTATTCGCTTATAACATCAAAATTTTACTTACAATTACATCTGTAAAGTGAGTAGAGTTACGATAAACCTTTGTGCTTTGTTTACAGGTCCCTGGTTTTCGTCCGGGAAAGAACATTCCAGAGAGTATTCTTGTTGGTTTTGTAGGGAAGGAAAAAGTCCAGAAGGCTACTATAGAATCAATCTTGAAAAGAACACTTCCACACGCCATGTCCTCGGTGTGCCTTTTCTTTATTTGTATCTATCTCTTCAACACCTTAACAGGCTATTTGGGTGGATAAAGTGTGTTGGACTAATTATATCGTACATATTCTAATTCTTTCATACTGGTTCTTACATGTGATGATTTAATGTTTCTATAATGAACAGTTATTCTGTTATGATGCGTAGGATATTATGTATATTGATTTGATACAACATATACTTGTACACATTCAATGTCAGAATTGAGCAGACATTAAGATTTTATTTTTTGTCCATATTGAAGTATGATTATTTGGTCCAACCGTCCCAATATGTTATACCTTATGCTGAAGTTTCTCTCTCTCTCTCTCTCTCTCTCTCTCTCTCTCTCTTGAGCAACTTCTAATGCATGTCTTGCTACTTCATAGGTAAGTGGAAGAGCCTTGGAAGATTCACTCCATATATTAACTAGATTCCCGGAGATGGAGAGCACTTATTCTTCCATGAAATCTTTGAGGTTTGTTAAATGTGCATCCTCTGCTCAAACATACAGTATCACACGCTAGTTTAAGAAATATATAAATGTTTGCGAATTGAGGAAATTAGAAATTGGTTCGATTTAATAAGTACGGACTCATCCTTCTTTTCTTTTTCGTGTGTGTGGGGGGTTTAAGTTCTTTACTGTTGCACTCAGTTACTGGATGAGATGGACTGTAAAACGGATGAGATGGTATTGCAGGTCTTAGAACAGACCGGATGGTACAGCCCCTACAATTTGTTTATTTGTTAAAATTATGAAAGATAAATACTTGTATTATTGAGATGAAAGTTCTCTATCTTGTCACCTTTTGCTGTAATTTATGCCTTCTTGATGTAGATATGATGTGATTGTTGATGTCGCACCTGAAGTCAAATGGGTTCCTGAAGATGGGTACAAAAATTTGAAGATTGTTGTTGAGATTGATAAGGAAATAGATGCGCAGACTGCAACTGAACAGGAACTACGTCGCCGTCATAAGGCTCTTGGCGCATTAAAAATAGTGGCTGACAGAGGTCTTGAGGTACATAAAATCGTATGTTCCATCAAGAGTTAAATCTTATTTCCTCACTTTTTAAAACCAATCCTTTATGAAACACCTGGTTTTATCAGATTGAGGATTTTGGAACTTGGCATGCACTATGTTGATCTTAAATTTCTTAAACTCCTTTCACTTTTATGATCTCCATGCTTTATCATTCTTCTGGAACTAAAAATGTAAACTATTCATCTTTGCTGTCACAAACACGTAATTAGCAAGTTTAAGATTTCAGCTTTTTCATTGGCGCATATTCAGTTGATGACATTGAAGTTCCTGGAATGACTGCTGCTTATCTCCGATCATGCAACTGAATCGATGAATAATGATTTTCGGTGCTCATATACGTTACTTACTTCAAAACCCTGTGCAGGTGGGTGATGTTGCGGTTCTTGATTTATCAGCTACAACAATTGAGCAGGACGAATCTAACTCTCAAAGAATACCATCTGCTGAGAGTAAAGGTTTGTGGCAAAGTACTCTTGTAAATTGGTCTATGTGTTCCTGATTCAAGTCATGAAATGAGCATTTTTAGTTCTGGTCTTTTTCAGTTGCGTACTTGTTTAGCAATTTTAATATTTGGTCACATACAAGAGACAGTGGGAAAAAGACGTAGTATTTTGACTTGGGACTGGAATCATGCTTATTTTTGTTTGATATTTTGGGTGAAAAAAGATAAATTCTGTGACGATTTGCAAGAACAATCACCATTTTATTCCTTATTTGTTTGTTATGGTAAAGTAGTTTGTGGCTAGTATGACGAAGATCGTGAATTCTCTTTGCTTGTTTTCGCATTCAGATCCTATTGATCCATGCTCTTATATTTTGCAGGGTTTCAGTTTGACACTGAAGATGAAAATAAAGTCCTTCCAGATTTTCTGAACTCAATTATCGGAATAAAACGTGGTGAAACAAAGTCATTCCCATATGTGTTTCCTGATTCATGGAAACAAGAAGATCTTCGTGGTGTTCAAGCTCAATTCACTGTCAGTTCCACTTTCTATTCAAACTATGGCACAGTTGTCTGTTATGCCCTCATGCTGGCTGCTCATTTGCATTCAAGAATTAGTTATAAATCACTTAGTTTATGCGTATAAGTTCCTTATTTACATGTCATCACCTTTTTTTTATTTGTACTGGTTACGAGTTTGTTCCTTAAAGGAAACTAATGAATGAACCACAGAGTTGTTACCCGGCCCTATATAAGACAAAGCTTTAAATAAAACATTATTATATTTGCTTTTGTCATTATATGCTGAGGTTTGAAAATTAACAATGTTGTTGTATCCTCCAAATTTAAAGCTTACAGAAACTTATTGACTATCTCAAACTTTAAGTTGATATGTTTTGTTTCCCTGTGTGCAAACGCCCAAACATATTGCTGTCCGCTACTAGATTTTGTGTGACCAACAAATTTCATATTGCTTGCAGTACTTGTTACGATTAAAAACATCTCATGATTACTTGGAGAAAACCATGTATGCACTACTTCAGTAACTATAGTATTTATGGCTTGTTGCGTGTTAGGTGTATTGCAAGGAACTGTTCTACAGAGATCTACCTGAATTGAATGACTCAATCGCCGATAGGATTCTGTCTGGATGCTCTACCATTGAGGAGGCAAGTTGTTACACCTGTTTTTCTCACATGATAAAGATTGTGGATTCTTTACTTTTCTGTTTATCTGCACTTCAAATGGCTCACCCCAAGATTTCTTTTGGTTCATGTGCAGGTGAAGGCAGCTTTACTGCAAAAATTCATTGAAGTGGAGCAAACAGCAAAAGAACAAGCCACGGATAATGCTATTTTGGACCAGCTGCAAAAAGTATTCTCAATTTCACGCTTCAATCGCTTAACTACTCTAATTGGAGGTCTTTTAATGATTATGATCTCTAACATATTACCTGGGATTGTCATTACGTGTGTATTGCTACAAACCTAGGGTTTTGAATAGATAATCTTCCTTTGATGTGGATGACCATAGAGTTCTTCATGAACTATATGGGCCTTATGGGCTGTGATATGTGGGTCTTTATATGGTTAACATGTATTAACTTGGTTGTCTACTTACAGCAGTTTCCTTATTAGTTTTGCCTGAGCTCGATTTATCAAAACCTTTCTTTCTATCTCTTGTTCTTGTAGCACATTATTTGTTATGCAATTTATCATGTGATTAATCTTTTCTAGATGGTTGAGGTTGATATACCTCTATCCTTGTTTGAGGAACAAGGAAGACAGCTTTATGGAGCACAACTGTTGCAAATTCAGGTTAAGACTTGCATTGCCAATTCTAGTTTTTATTTTTATTCTATTTTTGTAATGAGACATGCTTACGGTTTTGAACATTGTAGGTGTAAATCAGCCTGTATAGGTACTTATATTTGGAG